CTTCCTTCAGCCTTCTTTCAGCAGGCACAACACCCTCATCCAGCCTCCTTCGCCAAGCAGAAATCCCAGCCTAGGAGCCTGCCTCTTGTACCACTGGTACCTGCTCCGATGAGTCACTAATGATGCATCTCATCCAAGGCATCAGACAGCAAATATACTCTGCAAACTGTGTTTCATGCACCCTTTAGTGAGTGTGGGTAAAAACAATAAAGCCTCTCATGCCTCCAGATTTTTTGTGGATATATTATTTTTTATGTTTTATTTTGCTTTGCAAACAAGGAAAGCAATATGCAAATTCTCCTGTGCTGCTGCTTCCTGACCCAGCTCGGCTGGAAACCCACAAAAGAGCTGAATTTCAGATTTTAAAGGGAGATGAAGGAGAAGGTGAAAGGAAACAAAGGAAGGATCACCACTCAGGAGTGCTCTTCACTTCAGGGCTACACGAGATAGTAAAATACCAATTTTTTAGCAATTATTAAGGTCGTCTAATCTCAAGATTGCAGAATTGGTTTTGGCACATCAGATGCTCATGAATCTTGCTGAAAGTGCTGCGATGCCTATTGCGGTATTAAATATTTATCTTTGCAAGCTTTTAAAATACAGATTTTTACTGTACTAGAAGAAAGATTTTTTTTTTTTACTAGTATTTCAATATTAAATTGAATAACAGAATCCTACAGAAACATTTTCTAAATCATCTTGAGAGGTGAAGAACTAAATATATATAGTAAGTATATTGTTTCCTCATTACTCTTCGTATCTCAACCACATCTGCAACTTGTTAGCTGCTTTCTGAACACAAAGATAAATATAGTCCTTGCACTGAACAGAGTACATCTTAAGAAGGCAAAAAACTGGTGAAAGACAATCAGTTCAAGTTGACAGCAGGTAAATCTCTTATTAGTAAAGATAATGAATTGTTTTGGTATTTTTTTTCTGGCCATTTTTATCCTATGTTTAAAATTCTCCAGTGGTGACGTCCACTGTATTTTTTTCCTTCCCAGCCCACTGTCAGGCCAGCAGAGTGAGCTGAATGGGACACTCCTGTCCATCCCACGTATTCCTCTCTGTGTGAAGGGCTTGGCTTCCTTTCCCGCTTCCATTCCCTCCCGGTCCTTCCAAGCTAGGTAGACGTGAGAAACCTTGTTGGCTTCTGGCACCTGGCAAGTTTTTGTTTGTGTGTTTTACAAGGAGTCCTTACTATAACCCAAATAAAATGCTTCAGAACAGCTTCATCAAAACCAACCCATTTCCCAAAGACTCGCTGCAAACAAAAAAACTCTCAATAAAACGCAGCAAGACTCAGTACCCCATTCACAAGGCAACATGTACACATACAAGAAACACTCCTTTGTTCAAAATGCACAAAAAGATCAAAACCCTTCGACTTCTTGGTTAAATGAATACACGTGCTGGCATGACTCAGAAGCGATGGTGGACCTTCATGCAGATTTCAGCACTAGAAAACACGAGGATTCAGAGTAGCATGCGATACCTACCACGGTTCATTCATCATCAGTATAACAGAAGTATAAATGCACACATCTGAGGGGTAGGAGAATGGTGGAAGCATGTGCACCTGTGCCTGCGTCCTTCCTTCTCTCTGCAGATTGCCAGCAACTGTATCATAAAAGATCCACTTCATGGATGGTTGGTGGGGTTTTCCCCCCTTAATTATTTGACTCAGAGGTTCTCTTTAAAACAGAAGAGCACAAAAACCAGCAGAAACAAACCACCTAGTGTCTCCTATCAGGTATGAGCTAATTCTTAAACCAGGGCTAGCTGAAGTAGCCCCAACAGCAGAATTGCTTAGTTCTCTAGCACACTAATACGGACCTGAAGAGCTTTGCTAATGCACTCTTTTTTCTCCTGGAACTAACATCTAGAGTCAAAACAAGCCAAGTTGAAAACCAGAGTGCAGCAATCCTTGACTAAGAGTCTATGAGCTCAGTAAAACAGACATTCCTGGTAATGCTGGTTGGTTAAGTACCTCAACTCAAGGCTCACAGATGGCAAATCATAATTATTGGCCCATCATAATTTCAAAGTAATCCAGATGCCAACTTTTGGCTTACAGTAGTCTACCTAATTTCTTTTCTCCATTAGAGAACAAACAAGTAACTCTTGTATCATGTTTTACATTATTAGTATCTCCCGACTGGAGATTTCACATTTCCTGCAAGGAACACAGGACATTGTGCGAAGAAAATACACAGGGGAAATAAGACCACCTTATCACGCACTGCCCTATGAAAAGACAGGTGAACAGAAATGAAAACACAGGTGTCACTGCTCAGTTTTATGGTGCTGGGGAACATATGTGTGCATGGCTGCAACTCCAATTAATGTTTCAGGGTTAATGATCTGTAGTCAAAGAACCAAATTCATAAATGCTGTAATCCAAACTCTACAAAAAGCCGCAAACCTCCCTCACAGTGCAGTTCTGATCTAAAACATTGCCTAAAGTTGAGGAGCTTTAGGTTTGAAGGAATGAATGAACCATGGATCGCACTTCTGCTCTTCGGCATTGCAAAACCTTCACCATAGGGTAGGGTTCTGCTCTGCAACAGCTTTTCCAAGAGGAACTCTGGAAGGAGCTTTGACAAGAATGCAGAACCATGACAAATCTCAGCACATAAGCAAATGCCATACTCTAGCTGTTGCCTCATGCAGTGCTAAGCACACACCTTTAAAAAAAAAATTAAAAAAAAAAATCAAGAAAACCAAAGCAAATACAATCCCCTACTAGACAGAGGACAAGAGGTCAGTTACACATGACTGATAGCAGAGTAGTATTGGAAACTGGATAGCTCATAAGGGCGTGGGTAGAAAAGATCCCATTACAGGGAGAAAATGG